GCAGGCCGTCGCCTGCCCCGCCCTCCCCGCCTCCCCCGGCCCCGGCCCTGACCCGCAGGATGAGCTCTGGCCCCGCGTGGCTGCCTCCACACGCCAGCCTCGCCGCAGCCTCCGCCTGAGCCGCCCGGCCTCGCCGCCATGCTCGTCAAGGAGTACCGCATCTGCATGCCGCTCACCACCGAGGAGGTGAGCGAGGGGCGCCGTGCAGCCTGCGGTGGGCAGCAGCGGCACTTGGGGCATAGGAGGTGGAAAAGCAGGTGCCTGTTTTTCCAAGGAGGCAGAGTTGGGGCTCAAGGCTCAGCAGAGGGGCAAGGGGGTGCGGGCACAGGCTGGCCACCAGCACAGGGATCCATGGGGACACGTGTGCCTGCGGGAGTGCTGGGGCCCTGCTGCCCCACACCATGCCCATAGCATGCAGGGCTTATGCCAGAGCTGTGCCCAGGCTCGCTCCCTGCTCCGGCACCTCCCTGCACCATGGCAGCCCTCAGCACCGAGGGGACGCCGAGGGGCTGCTGGGTGGCTCAGCTGGCAGCACCAGCTTCGCACAGTGCCAGGTCACATATATGCCTGTGTGCCCTGCAGCAAAGGGCGGTCAGCACTGGCCATGGCCAAAGGCCGCTGTGCGCAGTGGCCCGTGAAGGGGGCCATGTGGGGTGAGCAGGTCCCTGTGATGCACAGGGATGCCCTTCGCCTTGGTGCCCCGGGCGCTCTGCACCCTCCAGCCCCAGGTGAGAACATCACTCCAGGAGCCAGAACGCAGAGCAGTGTCTTCAGAGCAGCAGTAGAACAGCTCTTATGCAGCTGTGTCATCTCATATATATGTGTGTGTATATATAATACATATATATCAAATATATATATGTATTTTTTTCCTTTCTGCTGGCTCCCACATTATTTACTGCGTGGGAAGCGGCTCGGGAAGTCTCTGGGTTGTCTCTGTGAGACGCGGCAAGGAGCAGGTCGGGGGAGACAGGGCTGCCTTGGCACCCCAGCAGCCCCCAGCTCTGGCACAGAGGGAAGCTCACGAGTCCCCCCATTGCTCCCAAGTCCCTGTTGCTCTGAGGTCCCCACTGTTCCTGGGTCCCTGCTGCTCCAACGCTTTGGACTGTCTGCGACGAGACAGGGGCTCCCAGCGTGGGTGCCGGCTGGGGTGAGCTCCATGGTCAGGCATGTGCGAGCAGGGAAGAAACCCGCTGAGCTGGGCGCTTCCTGCTCCGTGCGCGAGGCAAAGCATCCGCTGATGTGGCAGGGGATGGGCAATCCCCTGGTGCTTATCGAAATATATAGAAAGATATACATAGAATATACATATAGATAATATATATATAGAAATATATATACAGAAATATATAGAAAGAACTCTGCCCCACTACTCCCCGCAGTACCGCGTGGGGCAGCTCTACACCATCAGCAAGCACAGCCACCAGGAGAGCGAGAAGGGCGAGGGCGTCGAGGTGGTGAAGAATGAGCCCCACGAGGACCCCGTGCACGGGCCCGGGCAGTTCACCGAGAAGCGGGTCCACCTCTCCAGGTGTGCGCGGGCGGCGGGCCCGTACCCCCGGGAGCCGCTGCCGTTAGACGGGCTATTTTTAGCTGCGGCGCTCACGATTCTCCCCGCGGGGGTGTTATAAATAAAGCCC